GTCCTTCCTATTGGGAGTGGTACTGTGCTGAAGGTCTGACTGTCCAGCAATCAGTCTTTTGTAAGATTGCTCAGAGTTAGGTGGTAAGGGGAGAGTATGTCTTCTGGAGTGGAATGGTGGGTCTGTTGCGGTCCTTCCCACTGGAAGTGGTACTGTGCTGACTTTGTCCCTCACCCCCCCCCACCCCAAAACCAACCCACCCTCCCCCTGCTGCCTTCCTCCCCCTTCCTTTTCATTTGGTGATAGCTTTTACAGAAGAAAGAAACCCGTTCTCTTCCCCAAACATGGGGAAATAATTGGGTGCATTTGTCATTGGTCTTTTTTGGCAGAGCAAGCTCTCCATCTTCGGACGTGTGTTCGTCATCAGTCTCATCTCGAGACGGTCACGACATTTTGCTGGGACACGGTAAATCATACACACTCCTCTCTCTCTCTTCTCCTCTTGTGCTCAATTACCCTTACTTCCCTTTCTCCCTTTTCCTCTTCCCAGTCTTTTCTTGCCTTGTTCGCGTTGCTCTCCTTTTTTCCCTCTTTAGTGCTTTTCCATTTGTTGTGTTCATGTCTAGCAACACAGGGCAGCTTGGTTTACTGAGCAGAGCGCAGGTGCTGAATCCTGCATTTGTGCGTGGTGTGCTGTATCCTACACTTGTTTACAGAAACACTGTTTGCAGTGTCAGATTTCACAATTGCAGACCCAAGCACGGTTGCTCTGATTTGCTGCGGGCATGGGGTGTTGTGGAGGAGCTGACATGATGAGCCAGAGTGTGCGCAGCATGAAGAGTTCCGGAGTTATTGCTTCCTGCAAATCCGCTGATCTGTGATGACTTGTATTTTTCTGCTGAATATTTGGGGAAACTGAGGCAGGTACTTGAAGAGGGGTGTGAATGACAAAGGTAGAGTCGCCAACGATGTGGAGACGGAGCAAGTGGTGAACGAGGAGTCTGTTGGGGGAGTTGTTGGGCAGATATCATCAGTTGTGCAGAACAGGGGCTCAATTCCTCTCTTCTGGTCCCAGGAGATGCGGCGGCTGAGCACGAAGCCTGACATCATTTGTGAGTTTCCCTGTATGCATAATCTTCTTTGGATATGGCTTGGTTTCTTGTTGCTCGCGAATTCCGCTTGTCATGTTTTTGTGAATAGTGTGTTTGTTATGACATTTTCCGTGTCTTTGGCTCTGACTTGGTCTCTTGTTGCGGCCCTTGTGGGTGAATTCTTCCGGTCCTGTTTTCATCAATAGTGTGCTTGCCGACCCTGAATATCACCTTTTGGCCACACGGTATGTGGACTGGATATTGTTTTGTTTTCTTTTGTTTCTTAAACCACCACTACCTCCGAGCCTGTTTTTGCCGACCCTGAATTTCACTGCGCACGGAGTTTTGCCGAGCCTAGGTCCCATTGTATTCTCTTTTCTGGTACCCGTCGGGGAAAAAGAAACAACAAAAAAACAAAGAAAAGGAAAAACTTAAAAAAAACATACTTGCGGCGCATCGACCCTGTGTGCTGCGCGGTGCACTGGGCAGTGCGCGGAGCGCGGACCAGAGTGCGCGCGCACCGCCGCGCACCACGCACCTGGGTGTGCTATGCGCGATGCGCTGCGCACAGGGCTCGTGCGCCGAGCCCGGGTGCGCTGGTGTGGGGTAAGGCCACAGCAAGCCAAGTGCCCGCCCTAAGTGAAGGCGGGCCTGAATATTCGTCACAGGCCAAATTTGACATTTCCATATGTGGGTATTCAATCTCTTCCAGCGCGTCAGTTGGTTGAGTGAACGCGGAAGCCTCACTAAGCTGCGTCGTACAGTTGGCCCAGGCCACGAAAGTTGTGCCTGGGCACCTACACACAAAGCAGGGCCGATACATTGAGAAGCAGGCCGTCGGCCTTTGGAAATGCAGTACAGCCGACGCATCTACCTGGGGGCCCTGCGCAGATGCAGCTAACAGCCCAAGTCCGGAGACTCAGGCCGCGCCCAACTGTGAAGGGCCCAGGTCCTCAACTGTAAGTCTCGGCCTGGGCACAGGGTCTGAGGCCCAACCGGAAGCTACTGGAAGCTTCCAGCCAGGCCACATGCAGCATCCAGCA